GTTTCCACATATTTTTCTTCACAATCAGTTTGCTCTCAGCAGCAGTCACACTGTGTGCTGTTGTCATTTTTGCTGATGAATTAATAAAAGTGATGATCACCTTCTACACCAGACAGACTTTTTATTCTACGTAAGCGTCGACTGCTTAATGCTAGTGTCAAAACAAAAATCATTTCAGGGTTTAGAAAGCCTTCTCGTTGCCAAACAGTCACGTGTTCAAGTCCTGAAGCGATCGTACATTACATCACAGCGTCGGGACAGATGCAGCTGCATCTCATGTTCTGATGCAACGTGTTTCAAAAGACTAATCAGCACCCAGAAAAGACAATCACAGCCCCGCAAAGTGTTAAGTATAAATAACAGTACAAAGCACACAGGGTGATTAAAAATAACTTGTACATCAAATGCTGGAGGAAAAAAAAGGTGCGTCTTTAATTATCTCGGGTTAAAAAGAAAAGTATCCTGGCTGATGTACAACAAGGATGTCAGATAAATACGAGAGTCGGCACACAGAAAAAAAGACAATGTTCAAACTGGCTCTGGAGCCAAAAAGCTGAAGCCCTGCCTGGGGAGTGTAAGTCACTATGGATAAGAGTGTCAGCTGAATAACTAAACTCCAAAAAAAGAAATACACACAGTTGGAGAGAGACAGGAAACCCTGAGGGACTTTGATGAAAACCTCTCACCCATAAAAGACAAAACGAGAGAAAGGAATCAGGATGACAAGCAGGGAAACGGGTGAATTTGGCAACAGAAAGCAAATGACAGCAAAACTTTAACAGGAAGCGAAAATGACAGAGAAACACCAAAGTGCATAAATAACATTAGAGGGGGGAGGAAATAGAGTAAATTCAGATAGCACTGATGCAGGTAGACATCAGATCAAAGACGGCTGCTGTCACTCTCTGAAATTCTCTAATATGTTCAAAAAGCTCACGACTTCAATGATAGTTTTAGTGTTTTCCAATGCGCGTTGGAGTTTCGCTTACTTTTATGTTAGTTTTATGTTCCCATAGTGTTAGCATTCATCTGTGACTTCATCTGCTT